GCCCTTCAGTATCCGTGGGTTCTGCATGGTGGACATATATGCATATATACATTACATATCTACATATGTTATATATTATCTATATAATAGCAAGTATTGAGTGGTTACTATGTTTCCATTGCATTATACTAAGCACCTTTGTATGAATTATCTCATTAGTCCCCACCATGGCCTCTAACCTTAGTATATTATGCTCCCATTTAACAGACAAAGAGACTGAGATTTAGAAAGACTAAGTTGCTTAGGGTTTTTAAAGCCTTCAGGCCCAAATTTTCCAAGATGTTTTCCAGTTTTCTTTTTCCTTTTAAACAAACAAATTTTAAAAAAAATTTCTATGTATTACTGCCCTAGAAGAGGCTAGTACCGCTATTTTCTGTGAGACAACCAGTGGGGAAAAGAAAAGACAAAGATAACCAGCCTCATGGAGTTTATATAATAAATTATATAGTGTGTCAGAAGATAGATGTTATAGAAAAGAGAAAACGCAGAGCGCACACCAGTGACTGCTTAGTGAACAGTCACAAGTTGCCAGCCTGCTGAGCGCTTTACACTCAGATTAATTTCATTTGATCCTCCCAAGGATACTATGAGATTCCCATTTCACAGATGAAGGAACTGAGGCTGGGTGAAGTGACTTGTCAGACGTCATACTATGGTAAGTAGCAGAAGTATCCTGACCACACCCACGTGGCCTGAGAAAGATGAGAGAGGGCATCATCCTTCTTACCCATCTTCCATCCTTGTCTAAAGGTGGGTTGAAGCGTCTCCCTTTGGCCATTTTCTGCAGGAAGCTGAAGGGGACTGAGGTTGGCTCTCTTATCCCTTCATCGCCTCATGAGTTCTATACCTGGGAAGCCACTCCTCCTTGCTCCTGACCTTTAATTCTCAACCTCTACCAGGAGGGGAAGTCTGGGAGTGGTCTCTGTTGTCATAGCATCAGAGCCCACCCATCACAATGGGGGAGGAGTGCCGGGGTTCCAAGCCCCCCAAGGGCTCCTGCCTCGGGTCCCTTGCAGCTGCCGCTCCCCAGTGTGTAAGCCTCCAGGTCCCAGGTGAGAAAGCCATACACACAGATCACACAGGTGTGGACCAGACAGTCTTGAGATAATGGCGAACTCTGTACCCTCCAAATCCTCTGATGACTTCTGAGTTGAATATCCTCACGGTAACCGTCTATTCCAACCTCTTAGTTTTCAGAGAAGTGAGTTGACTCTGCCTTGTCTACACCCAGCCAGGACTCAGGCCTCCCCACGTGCTCCTTTCCTGGCTGCCTGCACATCCCAGCTCACCCACTGTGACTCCCCTACTGCACACTGCTGAGGCCATGAGGAAGCAGCAATCATGAGCAGTTAGTAAATACCGGGCGCTGTGCTGAGCGCTCTCACGTGTTTTACTTTTTCTCCATGAACCTTTGGGGTTTACAAATGAGGAAACAGAGCCACGTATCCAGTGGAGGGGGCGCCGGGTCACGGGACAGCTCCAGGGCTCGCAAGCCTTTCGAGGGCCACCTGGCGTCCCCCAAGCTGCAGAGGTGGCTCCTGAGAGCTGACCTTCCTCTTGGGGCCCGGACACTCAAGTCCTACCTCACTTCTACTCAGTTACGTGATTTCTGCTTTTCTTTCCCCTCCC